TATAATATTTAGTATGCACATTGAATTGTTAAGAATGCAAAAATAAAAATACTTGTAAAGTAGATAATTATTATTTATATAATGGATTCTGCTTTAATAATTGCCCAGATTACATTTAATAATAAGAAAAATTTTGTGTTATTTTGATGGTTGTTTAATTGTAAGTATTCATGAAAATAATAATGTTAATACTATGCTAAAGGTGAATGTTTGCTAATGCTAGAGTTAAATTATAGTAAGAAATTACCCGATTTTTTTAATATATTTGATAAGTCTCTTGAATTATAAAATAATTTATTAATTAATTGCGAAATTGAAATTGAAGGAGTATGCTTAAAATGTAGTAATGGATAAGTAATGTGATGATAGTATTATTTGCTTATCTTTAGTTATAACTATAATCTTGACAATTATGATGGCTTTTAAAATTGTTAATGGATAAAATATGAGAATTGTGATATTTAATAATCATGTGCAGTCTGTTGTTATGGTAAATGTCTAAAATGTAATGATGAATTTACTTTAGATATTGATAAATGTATATCAATTTTTGGAGATGGATTAGTCAATACATAAAAAGAAGAATGTGACAATCCATAGAATGTAGTATTATTTCCAATAAATGAGCAGATAGAAAAAATATATTTTTAATGATTAAAGAGAAACCTTGAAGGAAATTAAATGAAAATATTAAATGATGATTCAATATTTAAACACTTTAATTAAAGGATTTTGAGGGTAATTATGAAGAAATAGTTGTACTTCTTTTTGTAACTCTAAAATTAAGATTCAAACTTTATCTCTAAAAAGTTTTTTATATACTAAAATTCTCAAAATAATTCATAAGAAAGTTTAATTATTTAAATAATATTTAATATTTTATCTTTATATAATTGGGAGGGCATTTTTATATCATTGTACATCAAAAAAGCTTTGTCTTTCAGATATTCAAAAGCATAATCCGAAACAAAATTTCTGAAAGGTTTAAGCACGTTAAAGATCAGTAGCAGGCCATTCAGTAACACTAGAAAGAAGATGAAAGAATGGATTCTTAGGGCTTGTGAATAATTCTCCATAAAGATTAATTGTTAATATTAATAAGGTTGAATATAGATTAATTATACTTTTATGAAATTTTATCTAAATATTTGACTCTTAAGCTGAACATCTAAAAAATAATTGTTTTCAAGTAATATTTATAAGGTTCCAAATTTTGAAGATAAGTTCTTCGATGCAGCATATTAAATGATCATTACACACAAAAACATAAAAATTAGATTCAATATATAGTTTAAATAACGTAAAATAAAAGTGTTTTTTTTTAATGAAAATAACTTAATTGCATAAGAATGCCTTTATTTAAATATATAATGAGTAAGTCACATTACAATTCTATAATAATGATAAACTGTTATAGGAAATTGAATATATGCTAGGAGAACCTAAATCAATTTAATATTAAACAAAAAGGATCAAGGAATTTTGGATAATATAATGATTGAATCTTATGTTTTCGGAATCAAATCTTTGAAATAGAAAAAAACCTTACCATAAATTAATATCCAATAGGATACTATTAGGATCCTCTTCTCTAATTATAAGATAAATCAATCTTTATAACATTACAGTGCTGCCCCTGTCTAATGATTATAAAATTATGCGAATTAAAATGATTAATTTGCTTTTATAAATATGGATTAAAATAGAAATCTAATTTGTTTGACGAACAGACTCAATTAGGAAAATTGTCTCTAAATCAATAAAATATATATTGAATAAGTCCCTTAGTAATTAACTATATTCTCATTTTTGAAGAATTAAATGGTGTAAAGGCTATATTACAGTTCTATGGAATTCTTTTAGATTCAGTTTAATAAAGGTAGAAATATTACAATGAATAAAATCATTGAATTTAAATTTTCGTAAACTAAATCTTATTTATAGTATCAATTATAAACAAGGTTTAGGATAACGGAAGAATCAATAAGGAGCTAATACTTAACTTTAATTGTTAAATGAGCTATCAAATACTAGTTAGAAATCCGAAGAGGAAGAATATAATAGAATGCTTTTGAATTTATATCTAATAGTGAACATGAAGTGAGGATTGGAATAAAATTTAATTAAACAAATTTTATAGAGCATCAAAGAGTATATAGAAATGTTGTTGAAGAATAAGCAGTTTAGGAGTAACTTTAAAAAAATAAAACGTTATAAAATCAACAAAATAGAAAAGATTAGTAAGATATGCGAGTGATAATAGTGGATAAAATAAAAAATAGAATAAGATAGATTGTTTTGAGAAAAAAAATTAAAATGTTAATAATTATTCGGATTACTGGGAATAGTGGAATCCTTTTTTGATATTTAATATTGGTGATCTAGTGAAGAATTATTACATAAATTAAAGAATAACTTTATTGGAGTGTGCTCTTAAAAGTGGTTCTCTTCTGGAAATATCAAATGAATTTGACTTGTATTGTAAGTATTAAAGATATTTTAATCAATGTTTCATCATGAAGTAATGGATACCAGAATAATATTACCCTCTTTAAACATAATTCTTTAAACATAATCATTATTTGGTTTGTTACAGATTTATAAAATATTTTATTATTTATTATTATTATTAGATGATATTTTATTAATAAATATAAAAATAACTAATTTGGCTAATATATTTAATTAATAGTATGTTTTTATCAGATACTTCAAGAACCTTTTTAAATTGATTTAAAAATAATCGAATGAAGAATGAAGAGGATGAAAATTTTTTTAAAATTTCAAAATTAATAATAGATTCTCATAAACGTATAGAGAATTGTATAAATAAAAATGAATGATAGTGGCAGTAGTAGCAATGAAGAGAATAAAACTGAACAATTGAAAAAATAGAAGAAGTTAGCAAATTAATTGAAATAATTATTAGAAGAAGCATGTAGAACATTATTGTTAGATTTGAGATTTAGTAGGTAGTAGATAAAAGCACCATTATTCTGGAAAAATTTCAAATCAAATAAATCAATATAAAATAGTAAGATTGGCTTAAGAATTTGATGATATGTCACATACAAATGAAATATTTAAGAGGGCTGATAAAGAACTTGTAGATGTGATGAAGGCTCTTGTTATGAATGCAAAAGAGGCTCTTTATGCATATCCGAATGCTCATCTTAAAATATAATTTATCAACAATTGGAAATGGAAAAGTGAGATTCTCTTTTAGATACTTGGAGAGGAAATGTATCAGAGAATTGGGATCCAAAAATATCTACTTTACTTTAAGTATTGGTATCTACTTCAGCTATAATAATAAGTGAGGAAGTATATTTCAATAAAGCTATAATTTTAATAGAAGTAAATACAAAAGAAGCAGAAAGAAGAATGAAGTTTATTCAAATATTGTGAGATATTGCAACATAAAATATGCTATAATAGATTAAATTAGAGATCCTCCTAAAATTATTAGAAAAATATTTCTATTTAAAAAATTAAGAAATCTTATAGGAATGTAATAAATGGATTAAGTGTAACAAGTAAAAGATAGCACGATAAAAAAGCACACAACATCAAAAGTCCAACAAGCATTATTAGAATGTGGAACTAAGGGAATTGTCAAAAGATTTTCTAAAACTAGTTTATGAAATAAATTAAGATTTTATTTTTAACACTGGCTTTCCTTAAACCCAAAGGATAAAACATTAAACAAAATCGATATTGCCAATTTGAAGTGCTAATAATATTAGGAAAAGTTAAAGTACCTTTATATGAAAATGGTGGAAGAGAGGTACAGACAATTGATTTTTGGAGAGTTTTGAATATATGGTATTTTTTCTAAAGAATTATTTCCTATAATATGAAGAAAGAACTAAGGAAAGAGAGAGAAGGATTTTCAGTAAATAAAGGGAGTATCAGATTATGTAGTGACCTTAGTTAAGTTTTGGGATAGGAGAGGATTGCCATCATGAATCATGAATCAGGGAAAATGCTGTAGTTATCATTAAAAGTAATACAGATGATCGATAACAGTAGGAGTTGAAAAGAAAAAAATAAGGTAATAGTTGATAGCTTAATAGACATCTTAGGGTCTGATTATTTTAATTAGGAGCAAAAGTAACAGAAAGAAATGAAGATGAAATTAGCTGAGGCATAAAAAGGTTAAGCGTTTATTCAGATAATTTATTTTTCAGAAAAAGTTTGTGATAAAGTTTTTTATATGTGCATTCCATGTCCCCCTACTAGTTCTGAGATCTGTAAGCTACTATTATTTCTGGTAAATAATAATAACAGTTAAACAATTCTCCTAGCAACCAGTAGGTTCTAAAATAAAGTTTTTTTGATATAAGATGATACAGAAATAGTTAATGATTGCAGAGATTACAACAAGGTTCTATATAATGTATGACATTCTATAATATAGGGATAAGCTTTAAGTACAGCTGCAAAATATTTAGAAGATGAATACTTATAATTCATTTATATTTAATCTTTTATATAATTGCTTTGTATTATTTAAATATCGCTTTTTAATATATAATCGTGAAAGTTATTATAATTAGTTTTGATTTAACACATTATTATTTTCGTAATTGTTTATTAAATTAATTACAATAATGGTGTATAATATATTTAATGATTTAATTATCTTTATTAAACTTTTATAATTTAATTTTGATTATAAATTTAACTATTTTGCTATATAAAATAATTAATTTCATAAATATTTTCAATTGTTTACATTATAACCATAATATAATTAACATTAGTTGAATCATGTAATAGAAATATAACAATTATTGGTTCCTAATTTTCTGACATTTATAATAGATCAATAAAATATTAAAAAAAAAAAAAATTTTATTCTTAAAACATGATGTGACTGCTGAAATAAACTTCTAATGGCTCACACCTATCAATCATTAAGATTACGACTTACTTAATATAAGGAGGATAGAAAACGATTTTGACCAATAATACTGACGAGAGCAAAATTATAAAATGAATTATTCTATTGCATTTTTATAATTTTTATCAATAGATATATGCCATTAGAGTTCAAAATTATACTTCAAGCTATCATCAAAACCTTTTATTTATCAAATATAATAAATCAAAAAATAAATAATTCAAATTTTAGATAAATTTACTGCCCACTTTAGATGTCTAATAAATTAAACTTAAGAAGTATGTATGGTTTAGAATTTTATGCAATTATTGAATAAATCAATCATTATGATAATTGTTTTCTTCCATAATTTGATAATTTCCCAAAAATAATTCTTTGAATTATATTCATTAAATAAATATCCTATATGTCTTCTAAAATTAATTTTGTTATGATAATCTTTGTTTATGTACAAAAGTAAAAATAATGATAAAGGTAGAATTAATCCTATAAAAACTGATCCTGGTATTGCAAATTCAAAAATCCAAGATTTATGACTTTAAGATCCATAAATTAAAGATGCATTTCCTTATATGTAATCCAAATCTGATAACTTTTACTAATTTATTAAAGATGCATAATTTTAGATATACAAATACAAAACGGTTATTGAAATGATTCTATTCTAAAATTTAGAGATTTTAAGAATAGATAAGAGCTAAAATCCAAAAAAAATAATCATTATCTAGCAGACCATAATTCCAAGCATGACTAAGATTCTATTGTAAATTAATTCTATTCCTTAAATTTCAGCTAAAAAACATTCAAAAAAATTAGCTATAAAATATGAGGTATCATTTGATGGTTTTACAACATTTAAAGATAATGAAAAACTAATGTTAAATGTAAAGATGACTGAAAAAATCCATAAGTAATTTAGAAATAATTTTAGTAAAATGCTGTCATGATCTATTTGAGAAATATTTAATTATACCTTGTTGAAGTTTAAACAAAATTTCAGCAAATTTTTAATTTTGTCTTAGCTTTAGCGAGGTATAGAGCAAATTAGTTTTTTCGATACTTCTAATAGTTAACAGTGTTGAAAGAATAGCCCTAACACAAAAAAATTATAGTACCATATTGATATTAAGAAAAAGGCTATCAATCTTTTTGAAAACTAATCACACTGTTAACAATCCAATTATTACTAGTTTTTAAAAAATTGTCCTTCCCCTCTTGTATTATATCTATCACATTCTTCACATAATCCTCCTATATGACCTAAATAACAAAGATCATCTCCTACAACCCAACCTCCTAAACAATGACTTGGATTTTTATAGCATGCTTCCACATATTCAGAAATATATCTTGGTCTCCAAAACCCAGACTTTAAGTTAATTTTATTGGATGTAATGGCTTCATATTTATTTTTATCAAAAAGAGAACATTTTGTAGTGTTATATGTAACTGAATAAAATCCTTATTCTGATTAACATTATTAGCATCCATAAAAAGTATAAAATTCTCCTAATTGACATAAGAAGCTTTTAACTTGCATACCATAGGCTAAACTCTCCTATTAATATTCTGATTTACAATATATTAAAATTTCATATATTTTATCTTCTTAATTGTATGGATCCAAATTAAATTATAGTTAGCCTAGATTAAAGCTATTGTTTTATGGCTCAAAACTTATTGTTGATA